TAGGTATGTGTACAGGTCCACTACTGCAATCTCCTCGATCCCCCAATACCATCAATGTTCTACTGGTTCCTCCTTGTTCTCGTTGCATACCATGACGGCACTCTTCTGAACGTTGGCAGACAATCTCCACTTATCAATAAACTTCTTCGCCGCGTCAATTTGCAGTTGCAGTCCCTCAGGGGTGTCCGACATACCGACAAAATCATCCGCAAACAGCATTCCTGAAACCGACGTTTCCGTGTCCCCTACTTTTACTCCCTTCCGGACTGCCTCTACGACTTCCAACAGATCGTTGATGAACACCTGGAACAATGTTGGGGACAGCGTGCAACCTTGTGGGACCCCCTGCTCAATGTCGAAGAATTTTGACAGTTCTCCGTCTAGCATGACCGCGCTTTTCGTGCACTCTGTCATCTTCTTCAGCACTCTCCACATTTTCCCCTTGATCCCGTATTTGGACAGTTGTTTCCACGACCCATTGCTTCATACGGTGTCGTATGCCTTTTTCATGTCCAGGAAGAAGCAGTACGTCGGCTTTCCCACCCTCTTTCTACCTTGGATGATTCTCCCTACCGTGAACACGTGGTCTACGCACCCCCTCTTCTTTCGGAAACCTGCCTGGCCCTCACTAATGCTATGTTCCTTCTCCAATACTCCCACTATCCTATCGTTCAGCAGCTTACAGAACACTTTTCCTACTGTATTCAACAGTGTCATCCCCCTGTAGTTTCCTGGGTCAGTCTTGTCTGCTTTTTTAAACAAGTTCACAACTACTCCTTCCCTCCATCTACTTAGCGTCTACTCGTTTTTCCACACCCAATTGTATAGCAGCACCATCAGCTGGATCATCCCCTTCCCCCCAAACTTCATGAACTCGTTGACTATCCCATCCGCTCCTGCTGCTTTGTGGCACTTCAGCTTGTTCACACACGCCTCAACCTCGTCCTCAGTGAACTCCTTTTCTAGTTCTACGTTCCCAACGTCTGCCTTCGATGTCTCTTCTTTTTTTTGGGCCCATGCGTCCACCTCCTTCTTAAACACTTGGTCAAAAGCTTCATTGTCCGAGGACACTCCAAGTCTCTTGTAGTGTCCTGCTAGAACTTCCCTTTTTCCCTTCCCACTACTGACTAATCCACCGTCCACACCTCGCAAAGTTGCGACCCCTGTATCCCCCGCTTGCGCGGTCTTTTTTACCATTCCACTAATTCCTTGAGGGGGGGGGATATTGAGACATGAAAGGGGGATACGATGGACGCATCATGTCTCCTCGGAGAGTGGGGGGGAAGGGGGGTGGTTTACGCATGTAAACGCATGCCCTAGTCGTTAGGCCCATTGACCGTGTATCCCTACAATGCCGGGACGGAGCGAAATGCCGCGTTCTCGCCGGCCTAGGCTACGTCTCACAACGACGAACACAAGCTGATCGTTATCCTTGCCTTTGCTGTGCCAAACTGGACGCCATGGGTTGATTTGATTGGGCATCCCGGCTACCCAAGCGTCTTACTTCCGCAGGCACGACTATACTTGAAGGTACCGCAAGGGACTCCGATCTTCGCGCGTTTGCGTGCAAGAGACGCGCCACACACAGCCAACACGCCGCTTCGTGTGTGATACGCTGGGAGTTCAGGTGGAAAAGTCCCAGATTGGGTAAAAATTCATGTTCAAAGTGGTTTTGCTCTGGGGTGTTCAACCGACATCCTTCGGGGTGTGGACTCTAGGACCAAAGCCCAAAAGTTCACAGGATACACCGCACCAACGACTTATGCCCTAAACGGACGTTTCACAGCTCCATGCCACAAGAGCAGTCAACCCTACCTCGACCAATCCACCCTCGAAACTCACAGGCGGGGGGACTATCGGTTTCAGTTTCACGGGGGGGGTGGGGGNCACCCTCGAAACTCACAGGCGGGGGGACTATCGGTTTCAGTTTCACGGGGGGAGTGGGGGGGTGGGGGGGCGGCGGGGGGGGGGAGGCATCACCGTTCGCCAGCTCCTTGGTTTGGCACGCCACTAAAATTTATGTGAAGTAAGTAAAACCATGTAAAACAATGTTCATCGAACCACAGCGGGCGGCAGCGGTAGTACTATCGGCTGTTCATTTCTCACTGCTGTGAGGGACACCAACAAGCAACCCAAACCAGTCGTACATTACCTACAGCTATCCTCGCTGGGATACGGCAGCCAAACAGGGGGATACAAAACAAAACGTTCTACGCAACGAACGAGAACGCCCCGATCACGACCCATTCCCTCCGCCCACCCCCCCCTTCAGGCCTCTATCCTAGCCCTCCTCACCTGCCGTCGTGACTCGCGTCCGGGACTTTCTCCGCCTCCGACACAACGCTCAGGCACCGCAGGTAGCTAGCCACCCCCTCCTCCTCCCGGTGCAGCTTCCACAGGATATCCCCCCCCAGCCTTAACGCCTTCGCCTGCAGCTGCGGATCCCCCTGGTCCTGCTCCAGCTCTCGCAATATATGCTCCACCTGTTTCGTTTTGGGGCACGACGATTCGTTGAGTAAACAAACAGAAAAATAGGAGGGAGAGATTCGTGCCATGTAAAGACCCATATCCTCCCCCCGTGGCGCTGTGTGTGATGACCGTTCGTCGCTGAATACAACGCACATTTTGAGGACCAACCGCGACGCCCACAACACAACACATTAGGCGCGCATGACCACATTGAACAACGTGGGAACTACAGTAGACAGGTGGGAAATATGGACGTGAATATGAGTGCATCATCCGGATAAACGGGGGGGGTGGTCGGTGGGAAAGCAGCGCAGGTTTCCGTTTGCACTCCGAACTACCCCCGCTACTGCTGTTGCGCTTAGTTTCGGGCACGACGGAGGACGAAGACGCGCGTGAACACGCAGGTGAGAAAGGAGTTACGGGGGGGGGGCTGGGACTATTCTTTAACGCTGCAGTCGCGTGATGATCTAAACCACGGGTAGTAGCAGGCCGACCATAACCATGGAGGGGGGGGCTAGATCAGTCCGCCCTGTGGCTTAATTGCTTCACCTTCTCGACTAAGCCTAGGGCCCCCTCCAGTATCCGCGTCGCCTCGAACCCCGCCTTCATGTCTCTGTCTCTGCTGTACACCATCGTCTGTGCAAAGCAGATGGCGGGATGGGCAGAGAGGCGGGGGGGAGTTGTAAGGCCCGACTCTGCGAGGCGATTCGGACAAAACCGCGATCAGTCCTTTCCGCAAGGGACGAAAACGAACGTTCTAGATACGCCTATCGCCGCACCGTACAAGCCAACAGCCACTTAACCCGCGAAGCTCGACATGGGCACACAGGCGTACGACGCTAAGCACCCACACGCGCACCTACCCCGCTTCTCCTCCGCGGCTCTACCACTGTTGGGGGAGCCCCGAAACCTAGAAAAAAAAACTAGAAAGAAAGACTGTTCACAGATTTTTTTGTTGCCGCTGAGAGGCTGACGTCTTCGCTCGTTGGTTGACAGGGGTCAAGCGCGGTCTACGCTATCGAAATAAAGACATGACGGTGGCTCACCTGCGCATCTCCGAACAGTTGTCGAGCGTGGGCGATTTGGTTCTCCGGCGTTGGTACGAACTTGGGTTCGGAGACGTCAACGTCAGGTAGCAGAGGGGTACAGATGGAGACAAACACAGGCAAGGAGAGAGAGAGAGCGAGGGGCAGAGAGTGACAGGCAGAGACAAGGGGCAAGAAAACAATCATAAGCCGTCAGCATAATTCTTGCTGGTGGGGACGGCGTCAAGATATAAAACGGGACACACAGCAGCCGCGTACACTTCCGCCGCGGTGGGCGGGGCGAGGGAGGGGATGCCCTTCAAATCAAGACACATCGATACAAGTGAATACAAAAGGTGCCCTCACCCGTGGGCACTACACAGCGCGCGCGCATGTTGACGAGTTTCTTGTCATGAAAGCGAAACGGGCTGAAGCCATCCGAACGTTGGCGGTGTTTCTACGGCCGCGGCCGCCTGTATCGTCCATCTCGACACTGCTGTCAACCGCTGGTATGTGCTTCGAAATTAGGGCTACGGTTAGGGAAGCCCCCACCGCCACCCCTCCCCCCCCCAATACCTTACCTGCTCAGCTCGCCGTCTTGCCTCGATCTCCTCCACGCACTCCCGGTGCAACGCCGACGGCACCGGGTGCCGGAAGTCTCCCCGCCTCTGCTCCGCCACGAACTCCCGGAGGTCTCGCCAGCAGCCGTCGCCGCTCGTGTCGGGAAGCGTGTAACCCCTTCGACCCTCGTTGTTGATGAGGCAGGTCACCAGCCTCCTCTCGCCCTTCTTCCGTCGGAAGGAGAAGCAGATGGTCGACTGCGGAGCGACGCCGGAGGGGCGGGGGGGGGGGGGGGGGGGGGGGGGCGTACTCTCATGTTTTGCATGCCTCAGCGGTTAGACCATTGACCAAGCGTCCTCGAGAGCGCGGAGCATTCTTCCCACAGGACCGATCACCGATGGCCAATCGCTCCTTTCTACTTTGCCAAAGGTGACTCCAAAGTGTCTTCCCTAGTCTGTCCATCCTAACGATATCACTTCCCGCCTTTTCAACCCACCTCCTATGCCCCAGTACAGCTACCGTCCTTTCCTCTCTATTCCATGCCTCAAACATCTCCCTGTAACTCCCATCTATTTTTCCTAGCTCAGTCACGTACACTTCCCTCTCCTCTTCGTACGACTGACATTCCGCGACTACATGAACACGGGCTTCGCATTCGAAGCCGCAATCACATTTGAACTCGTCGTCTTCCTCGTCTACCGTCCTATGTCTTCGTCGACGTTCTCGAAGGCCTATGTCCCCGGTCCTGAATTTGACCTTAAGCTTTGTTCCTGCATCCATTGGTCCATGTAGGTAGTCCTTGAACCCTATTCCTTCCTTCAACATTCCGTACACTTCTAGACCCTCCTTATCCTTGGATTCTTTCCTCAGATTCTGTTCTTCTCTCTCGGCACAAGCAACAGATATCTTCTCCTTGAACCCCTGTAGACCCTCCGTTTCCAGCGTTTCATCTTCGTCGATGTCGAGCCCCTTCCATACGTCCTCTACAACCTTGACCCATTCCGTGGGTTGTCTACCCCCTTCTTTTTGTTTGCCCCCTTCGCCTCCCATACAATTCTAGGCAACCTCTCCTCCCATCCCGCACATGCGATACTGCCATGTCAGCTTCCTCGCGTCTCTTCCCGACCGTAGGGATTGGATCCCCAATTCTGCCCTCACGGCTGCATTACTTGTGCGCGTGGAGCATCCTAGGATGATTTTCGCTGCTTTCATCTGCGCCGCCTCGAGTTCTTTCACTACCTTCTTATTTCCTTCCCATACTTCTCCGGCGTACTCTAGCGGCGGTACGATTACGCTCTTCAAAACCGTCAATTTGATGCGTGTATCGAGGTGCCGGTTTGCGAGTATTGGATGCAGCTTCCCTGCTCGTGATTTGCCCTTTTCCGCTACCTTGGACATGTGTGCATTCCACGAGCAGGCTTTTACGATCTCTACTCCGAGGTATGAGTACTGGTCCACTACTGCAATCTCCTCGATCCCCCACTTCCATCTATGTTCTACTGGTTCCTCCTTGTTCTCGTTGCATACCATGACGGCACTCTTCTTAACGTTGGCAGACAATCTCCACTTATCAGTAAACTTCTTCGCCGCGTCAATTTGCAGTTGCAGTCCCTCAGGGGTGTCCGACATACCGACAAAATCATCCGCAAACAGCATTCCTGAAACCGACGTTTCCGTGTCCCCTACTTTTACTCCCTTCCGGACTGCCTCTACCACTTCTAACAGATCGTTGATGAACACCTGGAACAATGTTGGGGACAGCGTGCAACCTTGTGGGACCCCCTGCTCAATGTCGAAGAATNTGTCCCCTACTCTTACTCCCTTCCGGACTGCCTCTACCACTTCTAACAGATCGTTGATGAACACCTGGAACAATGTTGGGGACAGCGTGCAACCTTGTGGGACCCTTTGCTCAATGTTGAAGAATTTAGACAGTTCTCTGTCTAGCATGACCAACGGGGAGAAGAGGGTGGGCAGAGCATGCAATCACCCTCCCAATTCTCGGCGCCGTTCGACAATGCAAAAAAAGGGCTTGCAGGCATGGGGACGCGGGAAAAGGGTAGTCACGAATGTACATAGAAACGCAAGCAGGGCATGCGCATGTAGTGGGGGCTGGATAGCGGGGGGGGAGCGGGGAGCTCATACCCACCTGCGTGCATCGCCGAGGCGGCGTGGGGAAATATGTTGCAACAGGCCGCTGCCGTCGCGCAAGCAAGGGACCAACCACGCACCAGACCGCACTTCTTTTAACACAAAAAGAACCCTACTTGTAGCCAACCTGTTGGACCTGCCTCTACAAGCATGGAGTAATGCTGACGGCTCTGTAAGAGCGCTCCCCATGCTTCTTCCTGGTAACACGCACCCAGAGCAGTGCACGGAGCCTCCGCCCGCGACTAGCCTTGTTCTTGAGGAACGGTTTTACCTACACGTGTTGACGAGAACCAGCAGTACACAACTCGTGCGTCCACACCAAGCTGGCGAACCGGAACCAGCTAAATAGCTTGGTGATGTTCGGCCGACTGTTGACCAACTAGCTCGACACTACACACGCACATGCCAATCGCTGTAGCGGAAGAGGAACACGCCCCGTTGTTCCCGCCCGTTGCCGCGAGACGCCTCCCACTCCTCGATGGCACGCCGAGCCTCCTCCCGTGACAACTTGCCATGGAACCAAGGCACCAGGCAGCCGGATTCGTCAAAAAGTGATCTGGAATCATCCCGGTCGACGGGGGGGGGGGGGAGTTGG